CTTTCCTTAAAGCCACGAGTGTCATAAGGTGGGGGTGTTGGTGGTGAGGAGAGACGCTGAGACCCAGGTTATGGTGATGATGGAGATTTAATGATAACAAAGCACACACAGTCCTAGGCAGGCAGCACGGCAGGAACAAGCACGCAGCTAGATACCGGTAGCAACTGTCAAACGGACTAGACGGAACAAACACAAACCAGGACTTAACAGTTCTACTGGCGAAACAAACAAACCAGGACTTTACAGTTCTACTGGCTAGTGAGAACAACACTGAGACGTTAGACAAACGACGACAAGGACCCGACGAGGAACACAGACAACAGGTGGGTTTAAATACACACGGGGTAATTAAGGGAACGAGACACACCTGGGGAGCAATCAACGGGGAGGACACGACAGATACTCACAGGAAAACAGGACTGAACACAGAAAACTCAAAAACAAACATACAGAAACACGGAACATGACAGGAAGATTGTTTTTTTTAATGGTGGATCACGTTTGTGGGGATTTGTTCTAAGATTTTCCCTCCTAAGAGCCAAATCTGGTGAATTTAAGCCACAAATATCATTAAACTAAACATGCAAACATTTGTTCTTTGACATTTCTTTTTTGTTTGCGTCGCCTGCATGAAGAATCTTTGTGTGAAATCTGTATATCATTAAAGACTGAAAACATAAAAAGGGCGATGGACCTTATTAAAACAAAAAAACAATTTTGGGGTCATAAATTATTTTCTGTTTTGTTGGCCAAAGTTTTACCAAAACCAATCACAATCATTTAAAGGGCCACAAATGGACACCACAAATGGCCCGCGGACCACACTGTGAGCACAGTGATGTTTGTTTTGTAAAGTGCTGGTAGATTTTACAGACTTTCTGATTTAACATGGTGACCAACCTGCGTTCAGACTGCAGGCTTTAAGGCTCAATACCAGATTTTTGTGAAATCAGACTTTTTTGCGCGACTGTTCACATTTCCAAACATACGTGACCTGAATGTTACTCTCTTAATGAGAACCGCAAACAGCCTAACAGTATCCCTCATGTAGAGGTGCAGGAGCATCACATGTAGCGACCGCGCAGATAAACATGGATGCTAACGGTGGAGCGCATCTTGTGATTTTAAAGTTGTTGTCTGACCAGAGCAGCACTTTCATCATAATTCACACTGGTTGTTGTTTTCTTACCACTTGCAGGGATGTAGATTAGTATCAATGACACGAGTCCGACATGTATCAGATTCAGAACCACACATCCAAGAGCCCTGGGCTGCATTTATAAAAGTCCACTGAGTTTCCAGATTGTCATAAAAAGATCACATGTAGGTCGCAGTAAGGTGATTTGGATCACTTCAGGCTGCAGTGTGAGTTGTATCATCTTATTTACACCTTATAAAAGGTTTGATGTAAAAAATTCAACTTCTGGGACAAGATTAAGAAACTATTTCACACTGAATACTACAGATTAAAGACTTTCACCAGTGAGGGTCTCCAATCTCAGTCCGCAGATCTACTGTCCTGCTATTGTTGGTGTAATCTCCAACACACCTGAGTTCCCTCAACAGCAGGTCAGGAACAAAACATTCATGTGACTGAGGTCAAAGAAAGGTGCAGCAGCTCTGCAGCATCAGCCACTCCTGGTGGGCAGCATCCTGTCAAATCCTGCAGAACAAGGTTCCCCATCCGAAACGTTGAAACAATAACGCAGAGAAACGTGAGTTTCCTTAAGGCTCTTCGATTAAGCAACATGTCATCATGAAAACCAATGAGACTGCAGATGTAACAGCACAAGGTTAGCCTGGAAATTAAAAATCTTTAACAAATTTATAAAGGCTTCCCCAGTCCTGGGGATCAAGAGAAATATATATGAGAAAAAGGTGAAAACG